AGAGCTAGCCATATGATTCAGTGGGATGAATTCACGAACACCTTTAAAATCTAGTTTGTACCAATGTCTGTAAGGAGACAAATGTAGGACAAATTTATCTGATTGGAATGGGGTGATTGATCCATTATGCAGTATGAACATAATTCACCATGCTATCAAGGTATGCACCCTAGTTGATTCCAAATACAAAAGAAAAGTGCCATCAATATGGGTTGAGAGATGTGATTAGACAAGCATTGATTCCTCTTAGGATAGATGATTATTCTATTTTGGTGGAGAGAGCCATGAGGGTTGTGTTGTATCTAAAGCTACTCAGAGATAGAGAGATTAAAAAAAAAATAGAGGGATCAAGGTTTCCTTAAGGCTCTTAGGGCAGGAATTCGTTCTGGTCAAGAAAAACAGGTGTTAAAAAGAACAAATCTAGCAGTTTTGGCACTTAATTTGAAGCCAAGAAATGTGAGAATTATGGAAGCCCTCACAAGTTTGAGTGTCTGTCTAGATCTATTACTTTATTATGTTGCCACCAGTCGGGACATGTAGTGAGGAATTGTCCAAGATTATGTCAATGGGCTCCAAGAGATTTTAGTGGCAATGCTGCACAACCTCAGAGGAGCTTTATTAGACTGAGGTAGCTCAGTCCTCATAATCAGTGCCAAATACAAGCCAAACTTAGTAGAATGACCAAAGAGTATATGCACTTTCATGCTAGTAACTAAGGATTATACTGATGTTACACAAGTATGTTTCACTTTTAAACATTTTAACCCATTGTAAATTTAATCCTCAAAGAATTCATGTCATGTCATTCATAAAATAGAGTAAGAATTTAAATATATTAGTTAGTCGACTCTAAATGTTTAATGTAATGATTTTAGTGATAGGTATCAAATATCCTTAGAGTTGGTCAGTAAGAGTATTATTTGATTCACGAGCATCACATGTTTTATAGTCGATGAACTAGTTAAAGTGATGTGATTGAATATTATTTCAATTTTTTCGATACTATCAGTTAGAATGTCAAAGTTACTATTCTATAAGGTAATCATTCATGTGAGGTTAAATTAATGATTAGTCAAAAATATTTTGAGGCGTAATTTATTGTGTTGCCTTTAGTAGAGTTTGAGGTGATTTTAGGCATGAATTGGATGTCCATAAACTATTTCACTGTTGATTACAAAAGAAAAACTATAAAAAAAATGCACTTAGGGAGTTTGAAGTTAAATTTCATGGTGATAGAGGATTGCCATCTATGATAATTACCTTTTTGAAGGCTTTGAAATTGTTGAATCATGAAGATCAAGATTTTCTTGCCCATGTAATAGATACCTCTAATGCACCATAACCTTTATGTGATATTCTAGTGGTTATAAAATATCTATAAGTTTTTTGAGATGATTTACCAATGATACCACTCGTGCGAGAGATTGATTTCATTATTGAACTCTTGCCAGGTTGCTTGTAATCAAGGCACATTACAGAAGGGTGGTTGAATAGAATAAAAAAATGAAGAGTTAACTCCAAGAATTGATAGATAAGTGGTTCATCTGTCCTAGAACCTCAACTTGGGGGGCTCTAGATTTATTTTTGAAGAAGAAGGATTGGAGCTTTGAGATGTGCATTGACTATTTTTAAAAATTGGTCTAAGTTAACGCTATCACCAACTAAGGATTAAAGAAGAAGACATAATTAAAATGGCTTTCAAGATTAGAAATGAGCATTATGAATTTGTGGTAATGACATTTGGACTACTTAATGCTCCAATTATTTTTTGACCTGATGATCAGGATCTTCAGGTAGTTTTAGATATTTTCATGATTGTCTTTATAGATGATATTCTTGTGTATTTGAGAGATGAAGTCAGTCATACATATCATTTACATATTATGCTACATGTTTTGAAGGAGAATATAATTTATGCCAAATTTTCTAAATGTGAACTTTGGCTTAAAATGTGACTATTCATGGGCACATTATCTTTGAAGTCAGTATCTCTATGTATCTGATAAGGTCAAGGTTACTGTATATTGGCCTACACCTACTACTATGATTGAGGTCAGGATTTTTCTAGGTTTGGTTGGTTATTACAAAAGATTTATCGTGGCGTTCTCATAGATTGTTATGTCACTATCAAGATTGACTGAAAAGGCAATGAAATTTGAATGGTTACATCATTGTGAAAGGCTTTTCTGAAGCTAAAGACTTGCTTAATATCTACTCCAATTTTGGCTATTCCTTCATATTTTAATGGGTTTTAGATTTTTAACGATGCATCTTGAAGGGGTTGGAGTTGTGTACTAATATAGAATGGAAGGATTATTGCATATGCATCATAACAACTGAAGAATCATGAAAAGAACTATCCCACACATGTTTTGGAGCTTGTAGTAGTTGTTTTTGAACTTAAAATATAGAGGTACTATCTGTATGGAGTTTCCACCAATGTTTGAAATAAATTTTCACTTAGAAAGAACTAAACATGAGGTAGAGGATATGGTTGAAGTTTATTAAAGATTATGATTTGGATATTCAGTAACATCTATGGAAGGCAAATATGATTACTGATGAATTGTGTAGGAAGGCTTCTAGTAAGTTGAAATATTTATTTACTCGGTAGAAGCAATTATTTAAGGACCTAGAGAAGTTGAAGCTATCAATAATTAATTATGGTGATGAAAGTAAAATTCAATTAAATTAATTGGTAGTGCAGTCAACTTTGAAGGGCTAAATTGAAGATTTTTTAGGAAGAGATAGCAGTGTTCAAAAAATCTTGGAACTAATTAGTCCATGCAGTTTGTAGAAGAATGTGTTAGATCTGGATGGTTTATTGAGGTATAAAGGCAGGTTTTATGTTTTAGATGTTATGATTTGAGACGAGAGATTCTGAAGGAAGCATCTTTATCTGACTATACTGTCATATAGAGAGTAATAAAATGTACCAAGACCTCAAAGTAATCTTTTGATGGCCAAGATTAAGGAGAAGTGTGGCAGACTTTGTGAATAAGTATCCTTCATATCAGCTAGTAAAGGTAGAACATCAGTGTCCTGGAAGCCAATTACAATATTTATCTATTTCATTATGGAAATGGGAGAAGATTGTAATGGATTTTTTAATTAGGTTTACTATATGGGTAATCATCAATAGATTTACTAAGTATGCCCATTTCTTTCCAATAAAATAGATAGTTTCGGTAGAGAGATTAACCAAATTATATGTGCGTCAAATTATGAGGTTGCAAGGAGTGCTAAAGTCTGTTGTCTCTGATAGAGATGACAAGTTTACTTACAAATTGTGGTAGAAGGTTTGAGAGCTTTGGGCACTCAATGGACTTTAAGCATAGCCTTTCACCTCTAGACAAACTATCAATCAGAAAGAACTAGCCAAACTTTGGAGGATCTACTAAAGTTATGTCTCCTTGATTTTGATGGAGGATGGGAATCACATATCCTATTAGTAGAATTTGCTTATAATAATAGTTACCAAGCTAGCATTAGGATGAAACCATATGAAATTTTTTATGAAAGGAAGTGTAGAACACCTTTATGTTGGGCTATAATAGGTGAAAGTAAAAGTGTTGAAGCCGATTTGGTTGATGAAGCTACTGAGAAGGCAAGACTGATTAGACACATTTAAAGGATGGCTAATATAGACATATGAAATATTACGATGCCAAGAATAGACCTGTTGTTTGAAGTTAAAGAGTTAGTTTTTATCAATGTCAGTCCATTGAAGGGTATGCAAAGATTTGGAAAAATAGGAAGATTGAGCCCCAAATTTTTTGGTACATCTAAGATTATTGAGATGATTGATAAGGTAGCTTACAGATTGGCTTAACTAGCTCAAACATAGGGAGTTTATAATGTTTTTCATATTTTTTCACTTAGAAACTATATTGTGGATAAAACTAGTAGGTTGACAGTAGATTCAGTTGATATTTAGGTTGATTTGACTTAAATTTAGGAGCCTAAAAGGATTCTAGAGTATGATGTGAAGAAGTTACAGAATAGATAGATCTCATTTGTGAAGATTTTATGGAAGCACATATCGAAGGAGGATACTACTTGGGAGGTCTTTGAGATGCAGGAAAGATATCCACAAATTTTTATTTGATGTATGTTTATTTATGTACTAAGTATTTCCAAATTTCAAGGATAATATTTTATAAGAAGGGAAAATTGTAATAACTGAAAATTTTAACGGAACAAATAATAATAATAATAATAATAAATAAATAAATAAATAAGTGTCAGTGGTTAGAGAATAACCCCTCATATGAATCATAATGAACGCTCTGTCTACACTTCCCCTCATTTGAAGTAGAAGAACAAGCGAGAGGGAGAGAAGTGAGATCGAGAGAGCAAAATCTCTATTGTGCCCTAGTAGAGCGAAGAAGAAGATAAAAGAAGAATAAGAGGAAGTCATAGGAGCAAGTATGAGGCTCTATTGAGGGGAAGGAAAGCTAAAATCATGGGTAAACCTCATGTGTGCATGTGAGGAAGCCAAAGGAGCATGAGTGTCTCTTACAGGTTTAGTCGTAATCGAAGGAGGAAGTGACATCATAGCGACATACGGTGTCGGGTTGGTCCGTGATCAAGAAGAAGGAAGGGGTCAAACATATGTGTTGTGCTCCCATATAGAAAAAGAGGAAAGGGAGCCAAAGGCAGCTATCCTTGCGTACGATGTGCGTGAAAGAAGAGAATATAATGATTTTTAATCAAATTATTGTGCTTGAATTTATTTTTAAATTATGCTTATGACTTCAATTAATATTTAGTTAGCAAAATATGAAATTTACATAAAATTATTAAATAATGTAACACGTGAATAACTAAACTTTTTATTAGAACTAGTAATTCTAATTATCTTCAAAATACTAATATACATATTGACATGAAACAAATTAACTAATAGGTTAAGAACATTAAACATATTATCATTTTTAAAACATAATGAGAATGATTGACACTTTGGATGGTTATATCGAAACGATTGAATACATTTGATGATGAACAGTTGGCATGGTTATATCATTAGGCAAGCCTAAATGTTAGATTCCAGAATGTTAAATTACATTAAATTTCAAACCTCTGATACGGGATTTCTCTCTTCATCGATATCAATTACTAGAAGCCGTTCCTTATCGAAGAAATCCCTTGGGCCTTCAGAATACAGGGTTGGAAGATATGCATTATAGGCAGGTAAATACCTAGACACAAAATCCAAGACCTGAAATAACATCCAATCAAAAGAAATAGCATCCAGCCTTATTCAATAGGTAAAATCAGTAAAAGAGAAGTAATTGATTACTAAACTTTTAGTTTCAAAATTATTGTATTGGTTTTGAGATAAATGTAATCATTTTTTTGTAATTCCTCATGTATTGGATGTATCTCAAACCAAATTCAATAATTTAAAAATTCATCTTGATCAAAATTTGGTTAAGCAAACCTAACCAAAAGTTTTCTATAGTAAAATAAATTATGCATTTGACCCATCCTACTGTTTATCAAGTTTGATGGCACAGAGTGTAATGGTGCAAAGCTTCAGCTATGTTGGACATAATTTTGGTTGTCTAAATATGCACTAATACCATTAAGGGGAAAAGGTAAAGAATAGAAGAGACACACCTCCTCGTCGGACATTCCAGGTTTCCCATCATTTCTCATTGCCACTTCAGCCTGAAATTTAGCTGAAATTTGAATGAAGTGCAAAAACATAGAAAAGGACAGTCCTTCCTCCACTGTTTAAAACACCAAAAAAAAAAAATAATAATAATAATAATAAGACAGACCTGTAATCTCCACTGATAAACACAACTAGGATCCTTGATCTTGATGATTATCCATATGTTCACAAACCTGTCCCATGCATCATAGTAGGATTCAAGATTTCTGTTTACGCTTTCAAGCTGGAAAAATAGAATTATATCAGGATATGTGCCCAGAAAATAGATAAAAAGAGGTTAGAAAGAATCCAATGGTGAGAGTTGGTTTTTACAAGCAACTTGCCTGTGGGTCTACTGCTTTGACAACATCACCAGGGAGAGGTTTAAAGCCAAGCATCCAACCTTCAAAAAGAACCACCTATAGAAAGCAGAAAATAACATTTCTCTTCAGCAAAATGCATTCATGCTATAGTTCCCGGATATTAATCAACATTTCATTCATTAAGCTATTAAATTATAATTATGTATGTTAATATTGCATTATTATACCGATAGAGGACCTTCAATCTCTGGCCATTCTGAAGGATCAGCCCTGTCACCTCGCCCTCCATGAGCAGACTACAAATAATGCAACAGATGGCAAAACAATTCAAAGAAACCTCTTGCCAGCGGAAGACCTGGTGATCATTCATGCTTACCTTATCATACCGCGGCAGCTTCATCTTCATGCCTGAACAACATTATAAGATTATAGCAATCGTAAGAGAGTTTCCAAGACTTCAACAACTGGAGGCTCAAAAGAATGTGAGAGATGCGACACCTGATTTTGTTAGTTCTTTTAGAGCTGTGAGTGTATCTACAGAGAATTGCAGGTCATGGCTTCCAGCATTCCCACGAAACTGAAATGAAGAGAAGACCAAATGTTCATTTCCAAACTTTTCTAACATCCTCCTGCTGTTCATTTATCCCTTCATCTAGGGAGTGCGTTGAACTGTGCTTTTATGTGTGGTTCCAGAATGTTAAATTACATTAAATTTCAAACCTCTGATACGGGATTTCTCCCTTCATCGATATCAATTACTAGAAGCCGTTCCTTATCGAAGAAATCCCTTGGCCCTTCAGAATACAGGGTTGGAAGATATGCATTATAGGCAGGTAAATACCGAGACACAAAATCCAAGACCTGAAATAATATCCAATCAAAAGAAATAGCATCCAGCCTTATTCAATGGGTAAAATCAGTAAAAGAGAAGTAATTGATTACTAAACTTTTAGTTTCAATATTATTGCATTGGTTTTGAGATAAATGTAATCATTTTTTTTTGTAATTCCTCATGTATTGGATGTATCTCAAACCAGATTCAATAATTTAAAAATTCATCTTGATCAAAATTTGGTTAAGCAAACCTACCCAAAAGTTTTCTATAGTAAAATAAATTATGCATTTGACCCATCCTATTGTTTATCAAGTTTGATGGCACAGAGTGTAATGGTGCAAAGCTTCAGCTATGTTGAACATAATTTTGCTTGTCTAAATATGCACTAATACCATTAAGGGGAAAAGGTAAAGAATAGAAGAGACACACCTCCTCGTCGGACATTCCAGGTTTCCCATCATTTCTCATTGCCACTTCAGCCTGAAATTTAGCTAAAATTTGAATAAAGTGCAAAAACATAGAAAAGGACAGTCCTTCCTCCACTGTTTAAAACACCAAAAAAAATAATAATAATAATAATAATAAGACAGACCTGTAATCTCCACTGATAAACACAACTAGGATCCTTGATCTTGATGATTATCCATATGTTCACAAACCTGTCCCATGCATCATAGTAGGATTCAAGATTTCTGTTTACGCTTTCAAGCTGGAAAAATAGAATTATATCAGGATATGTGCCCAGAAAATAGATAAAAAAAGGTTAGAAAGAATCCAATGGTGAGAGTTGGTTTTTACAAGCAACTTGCCTGTGGGTCTACTGCTTTGACAACATCACCAGGGAGAGGTTTAAAGCCAAGCATCCAACCTTCAAAAAGAACCACCTATAGAAAGCAGAAAATAACATTTCTCTTCAGCAAAATGCATTCATGCTATAGTTCCCGGATATTAATCAACATTTCATTCATTAAGTTATTAAATTATAATTATATATGTTACTATTGCATTATTATACCGTTAGAGGACCTTCAACCTCTGGCCAATCTGAAGGATCAGCCCTGTCACCTCGCCCTCCATGAGCAGACTACAAATAATGCAACAGATGGCCAAACAATTCAAAGAAACCTCTTGCCAGCAGAAGACTTGGTGATCATTCATGCTTACCTTATCATACCGTGGCAGCTTCATCTTCATGCCTAAACAACATTATAAGATTATAGCAATCGTAAGAGAGTTTCCAAGACTTCAACAACTGAAGGCTCAAAAGAATGTGAGAGATGCGACACCTGATTTTGTTAGTTCTTTTAGAGCTGTGAGTGTATCTACAGAGAATTGCAGGTCATGGCTTCCAGCATTCCCACGAAACTGAAATGAAGAGAAGACCAAATGTTCATTTCCAAACTTTTCTAACATCCTCCTGCTGTTCATTTATCCCTTCATCTAGGGAGTGCGTTGAACTGTGCTTTTATGTGTGGTGGAGGTTTCCTCAAGTTTTCTTTTGGTGTGCATTGTATTTGGGTGTTGGAGATGATCTCCTGCCGTCTGTTGTATCCTTCTTTAATATCAATGAGAGCGGCATACATAAAATATGCAATCAAAAAAATTCTGACAACGAAGAATCATCCAAACCAGGAGCAATTCACAAAATTATTGCCTGATGAATTACTCATTAGCATAACGCTCGAGAAAAAAAATAAATTTCAAAACCTCCAACAGAGCGTTTCCAGGGTTTTGGCTCCTTAATTTGGCCTGTAAGGACGATTACAGCATCAGCAGAAATGGAAAGAGAAGAAGAACACAAAGAAACAAGACAAAAACTAATGAATCTGGTTTCAATATTTATACCTGCCCATCTGCTGTCAAGTAGAAATCATCAATTGACAATGTAGCGGCATTCACTCGTTAGTTTGTCAGTGTACTCACAGCTTAACAACTGACTGCAGCATCCTACCTGCCAGTGCGACGGAAAAGGTGCTCCAGAGCAAAAACAAGTGTTGTTTTGCCACTACCCTGAGGAGCACTAATCCCAATCTGCCACATTGCATAAGACATCCCCCTTTTCATAAGTTCAAAGCATTTGGCAGTGCAATGATTACTTACTGTTCTAAAATAAAATTTGAATTATCATATAAATTATTGATGGTTGCAAATCAGCGGAAACAATTGCACAATGCAATGCATTAGTAGAGTATAAGCAGAAAAAACAAAACTGCAAAAACTAAAGCAAGCCAGACAACTTAAGCTGCTAAGATTAAAATTCATAACTCCTACTTCCCGAAGTCCACCCAAGTTAATATATTAGCTCATTACATGTTCAGGGATCCATTCAAAAAATCATAATGTTTATTGTAGAACAAGTTGGAAGCTTTCTCA